GCAAACTGAGTGCAAAGCAGTGTTTGTGCTTTTAGATTTGCAAACTCAGTGAGTGGTTTTGCTATAAGTATTAATAGTTTTAGGAATTGTGCTATAAGAATCACAGTTAGGGTTTAAGCATTCAGAAAAAACTGTAGTAAATGTGTTTAGACAACTGGTCATTTGGTTTAGAGGACTGGCTTTTGTGTTTTAGCATTTGAGAAAAACTGTAAGTTGGAATAACAGAACTGCATAATCCTAAAATAAAGCATTTTACAGTTTTTAAACTGTAAAATGCTTTTAAACTTTTTAAATTTTACAGTTAAATCTAAACACATCTTTCTTTGCTAAAACACAAGTTGCAAAAGAACTCTGCTCATATTCTCAAATGAAAGCTCATGTGATGCAACATGCTTGCCACAGTTAGCAATATTTGAACACAATGAACACACCTGGCGTCATTCATTACACACAACGACTCAAAATTGAAGACAGCTGTTGCTAATGCTATGACCACATATATAAAAGCAAGTTCAGAGTCAGGGGAAGAGGAATTTGATGCAGAGGAGGGAGAAGAGCTGGCCCTGGAAGAAGAGGAGCAGGCCAACGAGGAAGAGGAGGCCAACGTGGGAGAGAAGGTCCAGGGGGGAGAGCAAGACAACCTCGCACCATCATTACGGACGAGATGCAAGCAACAGTCATTGACCATGTCATTGTCCATGGCATGACAAAGCAGGACTAAGAGTCCGTCCAAACCTGAGTAGGTTCACCGTAGCCACCATTATCAGGGCATTCAGACAACACAACAGGTATTGTACTCGATTGCTTTCTTTGTCACAATACAGTTTTACAAACCTGTGAAAGTAGTCTATTGGTTTCAAATCAGTTGTGACTGTATTGTAACACGTCAATTGACAACACGTGTTTCTTTCTGTAGAGTTGAAAGAATGCCACAGAGGTGGGAGGGTTGCCATATTTACAGCGGCACAAACCCTCATTGTGGATATGGTTTGTCGGAACAACCTCATCAGAGACAAAGTCATTGCCGATAATGTCAACTTTATGCGTGACACAAAGACCTACGTTACGAGTATGTGCAAGTAAGTATACATCCATGTTCACAGTACAGTTAGTGGACATAATGTGTTTCTCAGTGGCCTACATTACTTCTGGACAATACTGTGCTACCTGATTGACTGTTGTTCTGAACACCTGTGCACTTTCACATTTTCACAGAGGATATTACAGTTGGACACGATGGCCAGACCTCATAAGTACCTCTTCCTGGATGAGGCTGGCTTCAACCTGCAGAAACGAAGGCAAAGAGCCATCACTGAGGTCCCTGGCCAACGGGGGGTAATATTACCCTTTGTTTGCACAAGAGAGAACCTCCTAAGGGCATCCCAGTGGAGGCCTTCCAAGGATGGATTCGCCATTCCAGGGCGTTTTTCCCACGGTGCCTGGCAAGAGACAATATAGCCTGCGATGTGGATGAGGTGATGTGGCCTGATACAGCTCAGCGACATGATGCCGCACAGTGAGTTTGGTGTGTGTGTGTGGTGTGACTAACGTAAATAAGACTTCACACCCTGATCATGTTTTCAGGAGTACTGTTGTGTGCAATAGATTCTGTTTTTGCATTGAGGTGTGTTACAGTAGTGTACATACATGCAGGATTTTCTATAGATTTATACTCTTCATATGAAACTCACAAATCTAAATGCCTAATCCTCTGCAGAGATCTACGGCGATCCATTACTGTATGGTTTCTAAAAATATGCATTGGCAGTTATGAAACAAAACCTTCTCACAAATTGAGCATTGTGTTTTCAATTGTTTTGCTGTAGTGTGTAATGATGTGTATAGTGTTTACATTTTTGGAAGCTTCGAGCTGCTCTTTTGGTGTGAAAGTTTGAGTTTTGCAGTGGGAAGGTGTGGTTTTGTTTATGTAGCTTTAGAAAAGGGTGTTGTGTTTAGACATTTGTGATGGTGGAAACATTTGTGAAGTGTTAGCATTTGAGAAAAACTGTAATGTAGCTGAGTTGGACCAACTTGGACTAATTGATGAATTAGTTGGGGTTTTTTTGTTGTTTTTTTTTTTCCCGAATTGCTAAAAACATTTCCTAAAATCTCATCTCTTAGTCTCAAAACACTAAACACAAAGTGTAAAATTAAAGCTACACTCACATAACCTTTAACTTGTCTTGCAAAACCAAATTTGACCCAAAACTATTAACTTTACTCAAAATCAACCACTAGTCCCAAAAACCACACAAAACCAGCCAATGTGCAAACACAACTGTGTTAAGGTCACAGGGGCACTGAAGCATATCCTAGCTATTACAGGGTGAGAGGCAGCGTACACCCTGGATAGGTTACCAGTCTATTGCAGGGCTAACACAGAGATACAGAAAACCATTCACGTCTATGGGCAATTTGGAATTACCAATTAGCCTAACCCCACAACCAGCTTGTCTTTGAACTGAGGGAGGAAGCTGGGGAGAACCCAGAGAGAACCCACGCAAACTTGAGTAAGAAAAATTAGAAAAACATTTTAGAAGGATTTTGATTAATCTGTTAACATCTTGTGTGTCTAATTTTTAGGTGAAGCTACTCTTGTGACTCCTAACAGGCTCCAACACTTTCTGTCATGAATTGCTGTCCGGCAGGCAGGAGTTGGTCCCAAAATGCAGGCACGAGGTTTAAACACAAAGAACTCAGCTTTATTTGCTGGCAGGAGAGAGTCATACAAAAGCAAACTAAACTCAGTGAGACACAGGGAGAGCCACAAAGCATGAGGGACAACACGACACTGGCTCAGAGAAACACAAGGTTTAAATACACTGGGAAGTAACGAGGGGAATGAGACACAGAAGGAGGGCACAACTGGGAGAAATCAGGACTGACGAGACAAGCAAAGCAGGACACATTCACATAAGACAAGGACCTTCAAAGTAAAACAGGAAGTATGACACAGAGACGCGAACTTGAC